TATATTTGTATGGTTTCTATATCTTCTTCATCACTAACTTGGATTTCGGACTGAAATTAATCAGCCACCGCTGTTTGTTGTTCAATGGCTGTTGTGGTTGAAAATTATTAACAAACAAACTGACTTTTCTACCGAAACGATCGGTATCCCCGGTCGAGAAGAAAAACAATTCATCGGGGAAATGGGGGGTGGGGCGGGGAAGAACATTTTTATGATATATTAGAAGACACTAAAATCGATTAAATAAGCCTTTGAAATTTTCGTAATTTCTGGGGTTTCAACCCTGAAACAATTCCAGAAACTTTGAGCGACACCCGGCCACGCCCACTTACGCTCTCCTTGCCCACCCCGTCGGAGACATCATACCCCCATCAGCAAAATCCTGCCGCTACCGGTCCCGTTCAGAAATAAAATTAATTCACTTAGTTTTGTATTGATGCTCTTACTTCGTCATGATCGGAAGGAAACTGTTTGAAATAGCATATACTGACGGTATATCACCAGTTGGCATTACTGCAAATTGCCTAGTAACAGTGAATTAGAGTGAGAAACGTTCCCACACAAGTAGGTTCCCACGATCAGGAGAAGCATGGGAGAAGCAGACACAAGGTCAATCACATACAGTAGTCTTATTCTTTAAACGCCGCCAACTCAGGAATATAGACGTGCTAGTGTCTGATCTGATTCTTTGAACGCCGCCTTCAGGAATATAAACGGGATGCTGCTCCCCAAGGAGGGAATAGCCGACTGCCTTGTTCAGGATACCAACATGTGCTGTGGTTTCAGTAGTTCAGCTGTATTTTTACGAAGTGTTGCTTTTTTGTACGTTTACTTACATGTCATTTTAATTTAGTCATTGATCATCATAATAAAATCATTAACTTTGTTGTTACTATGGCGTTTATGTTTGCTTTCTGTTGTGTGTTATAACAGTTGTTAAACCTTTTTTTTTCAAAGACGTGCACACTCATTCTGTATAAATGAGTAGTATATTGTGGGCCTATCCACTGCAAGACTCTTAATTAAAAATCAACGTAACCATGGGGACGTGTACTTCTACTGTTATTTTCTCAATGAATAGGGCGTTTACAGTTAAAAGCCCTTGATTTTTTAGCAAAGTATTGTGTGTTTAATTATGTTTCTAAGGTTGAAAAAGTCTTTGTAAAAAATGGCGCAGTTTTAAGATGCCGGTCGGAAATTTGAGAGCCGGACAGAGATGACCGGCGAGGGGAGAACCCTGTGATAATTATGAATATTTTATTAACATTTTAACAGAATATTATGTTACAAAAAGATGTTAAAGAGGTTGCCCGTCGGGACGCACCCTATTTTTGGTAGCCCGACGCAGATTAATTGGTTTCCCTGGGACGTCGGGCAGGCGATTCTGCGAGCCCTGATTAATTTTGTTAGCCTTGACAATTGTTCGTGAATCAGTAAAATCTTTAGAAATACCTCTTTAAATGCTCCATAAATGATTACATTTATAATGCACGGTAGTTAATTCGCAGGATTTTCTTAGGTGACAGCTACCGGAGCTAGCCCAGCATATTGGCACCAAGATACCTCTGTGTATACGGTAGAGACATATATACATACATATATATACATATATATACATATATGTATATTCAAGTAATAATAAAATTGTTGTAATAATACTTTCGATATTGTAAATATTTTGTTACAAAAAGCAACTCTGTACGATCAGTGGTTGCCAAGATATTAAATTCACGCAAAGTTGAGGTCAAAGGTCAAAAGCACAAGTTCCGGTCATTTCTAGAGAAAATTGTCCATTATAGTAAATATAAATATGCATGTTTTAAACATTTTTCTGCAAAAAGCAACTCTGTACGACCAGCGGTTTTCTAGATATAGCTCCCTATATTTCCACCCCTAATTTGCATATTTATGCTAATAAGGTCGGCAAAATGGCACTTCCGGTCATTTTTGAATAAAATGTTTCATTAGCGTAAATTAGTGAACAACTTTAAGAAAGAATCAACTTTCTAAGACAAGTGGTTACCAAGATATAAGTACCCTACATTTTCATAACTAATTTGCATATTTTAACTAATTTGCATATGAAGATGTGCGTAAAAAAATTGGCGACTCATTTTATTGGATTCAGCATACTTCAAAGTATATATTCCATCCAAAAAACTAAAATGATCACAAAAATCCCACGGAAGCCCATTTTTCGACATATGCCCCCGGACTTTAACTGCTGTCCCAGTTTGTTTTTTTAATCTTATAAATAATAAAATATGAAAAAAAAATTATTTTATAAGATATACAAATAGTAGATAATCTGAGATTACAAACCCTCGCCCTGCTGTCGCGCCATATCTTTGTATCCACTTGTTGTATTGTAGCGGAGTAATATTATTAGCTATAGCTATTAGGTGAAATGCAGCAGGGCGAGGGTTTGTAATTTTAGATTATCTTGTTGTTGTTGTTGTTGTTATTATTATTATTGTTGTTGTTGTTGTTGTTGTTATTGTTGTTATTGTTATTGTTATTATTATTATTATTATTATTATTATTATTATTATTTGTCAATAAAAATATTACATTAAAACCTAAAAGTACACAGCTTGGCCTAAATGCAAAAACATAATTCAATTTGTTATAAATTCACAACACAAATCTTGGCCAGAAGTGACGCCAGAAATTTGCTGACAAGGGGTCCAACGTGTCCAGCAGAGGAGTCCGAACCAAGGCGACGACCAAATCTCAGTCGATGGCCCGGAATACAAAAATCCTTGTTAGGGTTCGTGGGAAGAAATTTTATGGTTAAATCTGGTCCTAAAGTGTGCTTTTTGTCCACAATATTTGGGATTAGCAATTAAAATAGCGTTATTTGGGTAGGCAAATTATTTTTTTAAAATTATTTTTGGTCCGATAACCTAGCCATTTGTCGGTGACAGGGGGTCCAGGCCTGTCCGACGGGTGAGAAAATGCCCACCCTGCCCTTCCCCTCCCACCTGCTGGCGCCACCACTGATCTCGGCATTGACTTTCGGATGGATGGTGAAGAAGAAACGAATAAATAAATGAATGAATGCATAAATATATGAATATGAAATAAAAATAAATATACAAACGAACGAATTCACACAAACAAGTAAATATGTCTAAATAAATTAAATAGAAATACATATGCATACGTTCTCTCCCGATGAATGAATTGACACAAGGTTCACTCTGCTTCCGAAGCTCGTACACGCTGCACTCGCTGAATTCCAGGTTTTAGTAGATGTGAATGGCTTATAGCAGTAATTACTATACTGAGACCATCCCGACGGACAGGCAGACAACGCACCTTTAAAGGAGTCGATAATATAACAACCACAACTATTGCAATTATTAATACAAAACAAAATCGCTATTCACATGTGTTGGGCATGCATGTGTTTCAATAAAACATTATGTACATGATTTCTTTATCAGCTATTAACAGAACGTCATGATTACCTTTCTGTGAGACAATGTTATTATTGTAGCATAATAAGAAATATTTGTAATTTATATAAAAAGATGACAAAATAAAGAGTCGAAAAACTGAACCACAACACGATGGATTAAGTTAGGGCTTGGGAACCAAGCCCAAGAAATACAGCCTTTTGGGTATCCTAATTGCAAATATATGAAGTTTCTATCACTTTTTAATATATTTTCGGTCTAGGGACCGCGTAGATCTTGACTGGGCTGCACTAGAGTTCCTATAGAGAGAGAGTTGCGACATGAACCGCTTGTTGAGTGTCATATTGTGCCATTGTATGCGTATGAACACTATGTTACAGTGTGACGACTGCATAATTATCAGGCAATTGAAAAAAAATAAATAAATACAAATATATACGGTAAGAACATTTTTGTCATTTGGTAATAAATATCTGTTCATTAACGCTTGCTTGAAATTTATAACAAAAGTAAAAAAAAAATTGATTCTCAATAGGCTATTAATAATTATTAACATAATAGGCCTACCCGTGCTCAGCACGGTGTTGAATGAGTCGGGAAAGGTGGCGATCGTGTACATTGTTGAATAGGGAAGTTGAGGAGGCAATCGTTGTGAATGTTATGGTTACCATGTCATTATTTTTCTGAAGGATGTCTTTGTAGTTAATGTTTTGAGAGTCTTTGCAGCACACTGTAGTCCTTGTGAGGAATTATTGTGCAGTGTGATCAAGGGTGGATCGAGAATGTTTCAAAGGGGGGAAGGGGCGCACAACAGTTTCAATAATTAAATAAGCGAATAGCACGTATTGCATTGAAATTTTTTTTAAATTCCCCTCCCAGTGACATCCCTCTCCCCTACTGGATCTTCCCCTGTTGCTTTGGGCTACCCTCTAGTAAGTACAGCAATATACAGTAGGCCTGGCCTAGTTGAGCATGAGAGAAATGTTTGTCCTGAATCAAGAAGGTGGATGCATGTAAGGCTTATCTGAACTACTGACATTTCGGATTAGTAATCCGAAATAACGAATTACTAATTCGAAATATCGAATTACTTAATTAGAAATAACGAATTACTAACTCGAAATAACGAATTAGTAATACAAAATAAAGAATTACTAACTCGAAATAACGAATTACTGAGTGAATTTTCAAGAGCCAGTACACATGTGACAAAGATGTGTTTGATCTTTGTTCGATATTAATGAGAGAAAGACAACTGTCTCAACCAAATAATCCTGAAGTGAGTCTGTATTTGTATAATGTTTTACGAATTGCAATAACTGAATTACTTTGAGAATGAAGCTGGGTTTTTTTTTTTCTCAATAAACAGTATGTACAGTAACAGGTACAACAAAAATTACTGCAACAAAAAAGATTTAAGTTTATACATAAACAAAAATTAAAGAAAAACTTAGGCCTATAATTATTTTCAGCTGTCTCGATTTTAATGAAAATATTTTTTATTAATAATGCAAAAACAGACATTATACAGTACACTATAATTTATGATAAACTAGACTTTTTTCCCAGTATAGCTCAGCAAGACATAATCACCCATACTAATAGCTATTTATTGAGATCCTGTGTAAATACTGTTTTTCTTTCTTTTCTCACTGTAGTAAATAATGAATAGATTATTAAATACATGCCAATATTAAATGGACAATTATGTTAGTTTTTTTTTTTTTAATTTTTAACGCTATTATGACAGCATGATTCATGTGTTCCTTTCAAAATTACTGAAACCGAGTGAAACGTGTGAAAACTATGGCAAGACGCTACCCCGTCCCAACTCTCTCTTTATGCCTAGGCCTACGTCCTCGCTCCTGAGTAATTCGTTATTTCGAGTTAGTAATTCGTTATTTCGGATTAATAATCCGAAATTTCGAATTAGTAATTCGTTATTTCGGATTACTAATCCGAAATTTCGAATTAGTAATTCGTTATTTCGAGTTAGTAATTCGAAATAACGAATTACTAATTCGAAATTTCGGATTAGTAATCCGAAAGAACGAGTTACTAATTCGAAATAACGGATTACTAATCCGTTATTTCGGATTACTAATCCGAAATTTCGGATTACATTTTGATGATTTTATATACTTGAGTGGCACGAATAGGCTTTCGTAGTAAACCTTCCTGACGTGTTGACGTAAATTCAAGGTATTGATTGGTGGAGCTGGCTGACCGTATCTATCTTAATCCACTAACTAAATCAACCCGGATTCGAGAGATAGAGAATAGGCCCTAGGTATGCTAACCAGTGGCGGCTCTATAGGATATATCTTCTGGGGGAAGGCGCGTAACAGGGGTCTTGTGTCAGTGGGGTGCAAAGGTAATAATTTTCCTGGGTTGTAATTTATCATACTCAACACACCCCCAACCCCCATATAGAAAACAATACGACATAGGCTTATCTTATTTGGGGATACAAGCATTATTTTAATATAAATTCTGTGTACTTAATAGTATTACAACGTTTAGGTCTAAGCCCAAATAACAGTATACCAGTAGTTTTGCAAAATTATTTTCTTTTAAAATTAAAGCCCCATTCCCGGCAAGATTTCAGTTGTTAAGAAAAATCTGATTTTTATGTAATGTTATAAAGATTTATAAAATGTAATACGAAATATCTAATTTAACTGAATTTAGACATTCCCTCAAACATGAAAAAAATGTAAAATAAAACTGAAATTTGATTTTTTTGTTTTCACACAAAAAACAATGCGTATGGATTTTTCAAGCTTGATTTTGCGATAGGTCTGCTTAGAAATTAGGCGCCGAAAACATTAGCATATCCAACACTGCTAGGCTAGGCCTAGCTAGCCTTACCTCGATTTAGGCCGACATGATATTTTCCGTTGCGTGTATTGGCACTTGTGAAATATAATGTTTCATAGGAATTATTTCAAATCTGGTAAAAAAATTATTCTGACCGAGATTTTGACAAACACATCTCAGGCCTACTCGATCGATCGCAGAGTGCGCGAGATTCGAAGTAAAACCAATTTCATACAGATGGCGCATTTTTTTGACTGTATAAAGTATACATAAAACATTCGTCGAGAAAATGGTACAGTAATCTGCTATGAAAATAGTCTGTATTTCTCATATTTTTTATTCTTTTGCGTAAAACTAAAATGTATACCAATATTTTTCCATTGTTTATAATAAATAGAGTAATGCATATGCATTTTTTCAAAAAAAAAAAAAAAGTTTTTTTGAATGAAATTTTGCCGGGAATTGAGCTTTAATTATTATATATACATTGCATATCTCTTTTTATTTGTTGTACATTTTTTCGGCATTTGATTTTATTTTTTGATTATGTTATTGGATTAATATAATTTTTGTTTTTTAATTCAATTTCTGTTTCTTTTATTAAACATCACCTCACAGCTATTGCTGCATTAAATATTACAATTTGTAAGAAAAAACATCAAAATAATAGCATAAGGAAAAAAGGACATCTAAAAACAACCATCAAACAGTAACAGTAATAGAACACTAAAATTAGAAAATAAAAAACCTGTATTGATTGAATTAAGGTGTTTTTACTGTCTAATGACAATTATTATTATTATGCCTATTGTTATTATTATTAGGCTTATATACTATTAATTTATTCATTTAAAGTTGATATAAGTATAAAGTTTTGAATTTTGGTTGCTGATACGTCACACGTCTTAGATTCATAATTTCATTATCAAACTATCAGTAATCAAACTACTGGTAATTAAACTTCTGTAATAAAACATGTAGGCCTAATAAATAAATTTTATATTAAATTATTTACAATATTATTAGTACATGAACATTTAGAATTTTTTACATTTCCCTGGTATAGTCCACATCGTTTGCTTTTTTAATTTACAATATAACACATAAACATACCAGACATACACATTTATTTAAGTTATAATTCCAACGATTTTTTTTAAATTTATTTTTTATTTATTTTTTTTGTTACAGTACTGTAATCATAAACAAGGTAGTCGCAATACGTCCATACGCGTAATATAAATTAATCGTGATCCCACGCGCTTGGGCCTACGAGCAACAGGGAGTCAAAACTCTGCGCTAATACTACAGTTCGAATGTATCGGCTGAGATTTGTGGAGTACAATTCAAAAAACAAATATAGGTCTAATAATGAATTATCGTGATGTTAAATAGACAATGTTAGCTATCAAGGAGCGACGTTGTTTTTCATTGGGACCTTCGTCCCTTCAAGGCTAGGCCTATACTATCCTAGCTAGTCTAGGCCTAGAGTAGGATAAGGCTAGCGCGACATGCGGACGTTGGTACGTGTTGGTTACCGTAGTCTACAAACGTCGCCTAAAGTAATTGATTTTACCCGGCAGAACGAAAGAAGGAAACTCCGCTTTTCAGTCGTCTAGGCCCTTGTTTTTTGACAAACAATGACCTTTTAGAGGTCAAATTGCTGTCAAGAATATGAATTGGCTGCTTCGCAGTAATAAGAAGGACATGCAACGATTTCCAGCTAGCGTGACTAATTAGTCTTCAGCCAATCAGAGATAAGCGGTAATTGGAAACTTCAAAGCGTTTTCTTATCGCAGCCCACTGTCGCGAGCGCCTTTGAATTAACTCGCCTTTTCCGTCTATAGGACACCTTCTATCGGTGAATATTGAACGAGTAAAGCAACGAATTTTACTGACGTCATTAGTTTGGGTTCATTGAGAATGAATTTGACATATTCGATAACCTTTAGTGTTAGCTTTTTGTGTGCAGAGGATCGAAGATTCATAGCTACAAGTACCAAAAAAAAAGATTTTAGATACGTAAGATTATTCAGTTTGTTTGTGATCGATTTTTCTTGAAAATATGAGAATTTGGTGCCATTTAAATGCATTTTTGCAACTGTTTCTTACGACTCTCCGCAAAACCCTTATTAATAGGTCCATGGTATAACCAAATATACTAGAAAAGATAGAGTTCTCCACAGCGAAAAAAAGGAATACAAACAATAGGGCGCCCCGTACGACTGGATCTAAACAAACTTCTACCAAACTTTCGTTATTACCAATTCGTCGCGTATTTAATTGTCAATTCTCAATTAAAAATTGTACACCGCGATGCGCTACAGACGTCAATCAGCATTTGGTTGCTCAGCTCAAAAAAGGAACTTGTAATTAAAATGAAAAAAAAAATCTATATTTTATAATAATAATAACAGGTCAATTTATAAGGCGTAAATAAACAAGGTCTCTAAGCACCAAATAATAATAATAATAATAATAATAATAATAATAATAATAACAAACAATAATAATAATAATAATAATAATAACAAACAATAATAATAATAATAATAATAATAATAATAATAATAACAAACAATAACAATAATAATAATGACATTGAAGCGTTCGTAAAATGTTCGTCACTGGTGCTGGGAACAGTCACAAAAGTGGGGGTGGGGCCAGGACCACCAGTAGAAAAAGTGGGTGTTAATAATATTAATTCTAAAAAGAAAATCATTTACTGCTAAAACACGACGAATAAACCTATATCGGACGTACCTGATTTTTGTGGACAGCAAACAATTAAAAGCATTAAGACAAATCACAGACCAGTTTAAATCAGGATTGTTAAAACGGTGCTGGCCCATTTCAATTCATTTTTTAATACAATATGAATGAATCATTTTACAAATATTATTAGATTTAACAAGCGCAGAAAGCATCTCATCTTGATTACTTTCTTTATCTTTTTAATATCAGTAGCATGTTTCCAACCATCTGGAGTAGCATGCACTATAGAAAAATATTCCATAAAGTTACAATTTATTTAAAATTTATTCTGGAACTCAACATAAGGCATATACCCTGGTAGCCAGACCAGGTTTTGTATGCACTTTGAGATCAAGAAAATTTGACTTCAGAAATTGGTTTAGAGTGGTCGAAAGAATCATTTTCAAAATGTGGCGAAAGGTCAAAAGGTCATGGTTAAAGGTCATAGATAGGGTTGTCATATCTCCGCAACCACTAGTAGTAGTGTCAATGTGTTGGCACACCGAGCGGTTGGCGCACCGGTTGTGGCTTGGACTCCCAACCTTGAAGTCGGGGGTTCGAAACTCTGGCTGGGCAAATCGCTTGTGTCATTGGGCAAGGCACTTTATCCACCCAGGAGTACAAGTGGGTACCTGGTAGGTTCCAACACAACCTGCGCTGATTACTAGCTGCAATTTATGGAATGATAATATAATTTCATTTACTAATTTAATTTGGTGTTTCAATGTGTTCCATATGTGTATCCAATGACCGGGGTAGTAATGTGAAGCACTTAGAGGCCTTGTAAAGGCATGAAGCGCTATATAAGAACGACATATTATTATTATATTATAATGTGTTTGGAACATTAATGTTTCTATTTGGTCTAATAGAAAAGTTTGCTAGAAAATGACCGGAAAAGATGTTTTCGACCTTTGACATTTTTCAAATGTCATGCTGTATTTATTAAGTCCTTATTATCTCCACAACCACTGTCCTTATTATCTCCTCAACCATTTGTCAACACCAGCCGCATGTGATAAATGCCTTGTAACAAGGGTGAATTGTCAGATCGCCATATTTGTTTTAACAAAAGGTTCCGAAAAGTAAACAGAAACATGTGTAAATGAATAATTTGGGATAACAAGATTGGGATGTCTTCTTTGAAGGAGCTACGTTAAATGGAGCAACGGAAGCAATTTCATATTATATTGATTTTTGTGTCAAGTCTGTTGTTCAAGAAAAGCAAATCAAAGTATATCCGAACAACAAACCATGGCTCAATGGAAGTATTAAGAAATTATTCCAAAGAAATAGATTAGGATTAAAACCTGTCTCTTATACACATCTAGATGTGTATAAGAGACAGGGACTGGACGTATGTTATATCCAAGGATGCGGACAAATAGAATTTGTAAATCATTTCTCCCAAGCGCTATGAGACAATTTAATAAAATGTGGAAAAGATAGGCCTATGCTGTATTCCCCAATCTGCTTGCCTTTGCAAAAGCTGATTTTTCACAGAATGTTTAACCAATTTTAACTCCTTTTTAATGTTTTTTGCCTTTTTAACCTTTTAGCAGACTTTTATTGTTTTTACAGTTTTGCTGTTTCCTCTGTGATTTTATCTTTTGTGTCTTGTTTTAACTTACATTTTAACTGTGAACAAACAAGAAGAATTTCAAACCATGTTCTCACTGTGTTTGACAATAAAACTTGAATTGAATTGAACAAGGAAGTCTCTACAGTAATTATGTATAGGTATAGGCATATGCATTTAAATCATGTCAAATGGCATTTCCGGTCATTTTTTAGCAAACTGTTCTGTTACACCAAATAGAAACACGAATGTTCTTAAAAAATTGACACCATAACTAACTCTCTAATAATAATAACAAACAATAATAATAATAATAATAATAATAATAATAATAATAATAATAATAATAATAATAATAATAACAAACAATAACAATAATAATAATGACATTGAAGCGTTCGTAAAATGTTCGTCACTGGTGCTGGAAACAGTCATAACTAACTCTCCACCACCAGTGGTTGTGGAGATACGGGAATTCTGTGGCTATGAACGGCTTTCCGGTCGTATTTTAGTAAAATGCTCTATTAGAGCAAATAGAAACATGAGTATTCCGAACAAATTGGCACCAAAATTTACTCTCTACACCACCAGTGGTTGTGGAGATAATAAGGACCCATTAACTATAACATTTGAAACATGTCAAAGGTCAAAAATATCATTTCCGGTCATTTTCTAGCAAACTTCTCTATTAGACCAAATAGAAACATTAATGTTCCGAACATATTGACACCACATTTAACTCTTTACCACAAGTGGTTGCGGAGATATAATTACCCTATTGCTATGACTTTAAAACGTGTCAAAGATTAGAAACAGCATTTCCAATCATTTTTTAGCAAAATGTTCTATTAGAGCAAATAGAAACATGAATGTTCTGCACCAAAATTAACTCTCTACCACCAGTAGTTGCGGAGATATGACAGCACTATAGCTATGACGTTTAACCCTGACCTTTTGACCTTTCGCCACATTTTGAAAATGTGTTACCAAGCAAAAATGATTCTTGGACCACCCTAATCCAAAGTCAAATTCTCCGGAACTTAAAGTGCATACAAAACATGTTCTGGCTACTAGGGTAATAAATTCGCCCCTCATTCATACTCGTTCATACCATTTAGATTTAAAAGAGGTCCTACCACCTATTTTTACCAATGAATTATTCCATATAATTTGATTTTGGAAACCAGAATACGGTATCGCAAATGTAACATCACACCATGAACTAAAAACATCTTTAATAAATATATTATTACTAATAGTAGAAATGCATTTTTCTGTTGACCTAAGATTGCAGTGCCAAGCAAGTTTGCTCTCCACATGTTTCAAATGATAAACTGATTCCCCAGATGAGAACCACTCTACGCCCCTGGTCATCAAAGTTGAAAATGAAATATTTCCACACAGGGAAACTATAAAACTGGGGACCGTCGAAGAGAAATATAATTTGTCAGGGAGGAAAAATCTGTTAATTTTTTTTTCAAAATGTTAGACTCAAAAATAAATTTGATAGGCGTTTCAAATCCCTAAACTGACGGAGTTTCTGGAGGTGTTTTCCCCTTAAGACCAATCTGAGGGGTTCTCATGGATTGCGCCTGGCCCCACACAGTTATACTCCCGTCTGGGAAATCGGCCTTCACGTCGGAACATCGGAACACCCTTTCCAGTCAGAGGCATTGATTGTCGTCGGGAAAATCCTGACACCACCCATGCTTTGAGAAGTATGATTTCAACTATACATTTAATAACACACATAGGCCTACTAATTCTTACCTGATACAAATAACGACCACACAAGAGCTCGTAAAATAATTTTCCGAGACATAGGCCCAGCCATTCCTGTACCTTTGACACATCAGTATCATAGTAGTACACGGTCGCATTTTTTCAATAGTCAGCAATGGCATTCATGTACTTTATCACTGTATAAATCTATTAAGGTAAATAATAAATATAATATTATTTACAAAGGTTTAGATAAGAATTAATTCAAAGCTCAAAGAGTTGTAGAGCCAACAACAGCTTTAACGCCATGAATTAACCAATTGTACGTGGTGGTGGGAAAATATTTAGTTGTGGCCAGATTTAAACAAATGGACTTTTTTAATATAATGTTATGCCCGTGATGGAAGCTTAGGCCTAATAATATTGAGAATTTTAATCTGGAGAGTTATATTAAATGTTTTAAACTTACATAAGCCTCCTTTCGCACTTTTGTAATTATTTCTTTTTACTTGTTTGTAATTTTGTGTGTAGAGATATTGAATAAAGTGGAATCGAAATGGAAAATGGAAATTCTCTTCTAACAAAGCAAAATCACTCTTTGGGATGCTCTAACCAATTAGGAATTCCTCCACGCTCTATCACACAAGCGTTGACTAGTTTAATATTTATTTGACATTACACTTTTACAACAGTGGCAGCACACAAGAAAGTGGCGCAGTCAAACTTAAACTAGTGAACAAAGAGGAAAACAACAACTTAAAGCTAAACAAATAAAAGAACTTAACTATATAAAATACAATTTAGAGTTTAAATAAATCATAAACATCCCTCACCCTCCCCACACAAATAATGTACATAATACACATTACGTGCATACGTATATACTCATTCATACATACATACATACATACATACTGTACATATTTACACACATATATACACAATAAAATAATATACATAAATACATATACCAGTATGTAGAAACGGTTGCGTTTCTGTAGAGTTTTGTAAGTGAAAATAGGTGGCGCACAGCGAAATGCCCAGTTGTCAGAACCACGCTAATGATCGTGTTGCTATGAGTATTGTGTATGTGTAATGACAGGAGCAAACGGTACATTACTCGACCGTTTCTAAAGTTATTGGTTAGAATCCTAACTAACGGATTAAATGTAAGTTTATAAGAGTAATTTGTAGGGCAGTGATGATAATTGGTTTACAATAACAAGAGGTGGGAGTATCTCTCCATTATAGGCCTAGACCTAGCTAGATATTACTGTCATACACGGGGCCGATGTGCGTTGTGTGTATTACTAGGCCTACTACACTATGAACGGGAAACGTGCGATTGGGCTCTGACCAGGATCATAATTATGAGCTTAAGTTGATTTAGTCCTAATCAGTATAGGTACTCAGGATGCTATAAGATGATTGTTATAATTATAATTCTAACGCTTGTTGGTAATGTTCGATTTATATAGTACTGTATAGTTTATTGAGATATTGTTTAAGGTTGATGTTCCTTGTTTAGGCTAACCTGTTCAGGAGGTGATCGGATGTTGACTGTTAATTGACTGATCACACATTATGCTAACCTGTTTGTAGGAAACACAGCAAAGTAGTAAGTCTTCATTTATTGCAGGAAAACCGTATTATGTAAGGCTTATTGAACTGAATGTTTCATAATAATGTTTTCAAGAAGTTTCTAATATGTTTAATGGTTATATGATTACAGAATTGTATGAGATGTTACGATAAATGATAAAGGTTACCATCGGATACTTTATCGTAATAAACGTCATAGAACTTTAACGGAGTTTCCTGCATCATTTGTTCAGTGTTTTTCTTTACAATTCAATTTACTATTGGAGCATCCACGTGAAAGAAGGAGCAAAACACTATGGATCCAGAGAAGCTGAAGATTACACGGCGAAACCGGAAGGGTAATCTTACAAGAACAATGAAAGAATTGCATATGCTAACCAAGCAGCCAGACAAACACGATGAGATAAATAAAGCTATTGAAAAGGCAAAGGAAAAGTTTGAGGCTATTGAAGCATCCCATGATGAGTTAATTGAGCTTTTGGCTGATGAAGCGGAATATGTTAAAGAAGAAGAATGGATGGTCCAATGTCAGGAAGAGTTCCTTTCCGAGATGAGGGTAATTGAGTTACATCTAGCCGAAGTGTGGAAAGACAAGTCTGAACAGAAATCAGAGATCGTTGAAGATGCTGAAACAGTTGAAATCAATGCAGAGACCAAAGAGAAGGTCGAGGTAACTGAAAATAAAGGTAGCAAAAATGAACAAGATGTTGAATCAGAACCGCCTACGGCGGATGAAAATGTTAGTGTTAATGATGTAAATGTAAAGAGTAATGAAAGTTTAATTGGCTTGTTTCAAACATTGGCTTTGCCAAAAACCAAGGTTAAGCAATATGAGGGAGATCCTTTATATTGCCATGCATTTATATCAGGTTTCAACAATATGGTGACAAATGTACCAGATTATGGGTTAAAGTTAAACACCTTATTGTCGTACTGTTCAGGCAAAGCCCTAGAGTCTATACAGTTTTGTGTATTAAAACCACCTAAGGAAGGCTATGAGGCTGCGTGTAAAACGCTTAAAGAGAAATTTGGCAATACAGGAGTGATAGTGCAAGCTTGGGTGAGTAAAATCACCGATAGGCCCAAGATAGAGGTGAATGCATTAAAACAGTATGCAGAGGATCTAGACAATTGTTTCCAAACCCTTAAGGAATTAGAATACCTCAACGAATTAAATAATCAAAGTAGCCTAAAACTAATCATTGAAAAATTACCAAGATTTCTTAGAAACAGGTGGCAGAAGGAAAACTACAGACTGAAATTAAAATCCGAGAATGCTACACCTGAGGATGTTGTGAAGTTCATTAGAACATGTGCACTGGAAGTTAATGATCCTGTCTTCGGATTCAGTGAAGTCAGGCAGCCAACTCACACAACCAAGGTTAGAAAATTACAGGTAAACAACGTGAACTGGAATGCAGATCGAGAAAGATTACCGAAGTGCTGGGTATGTACGTCTAATGAACACTGGCCAGATCAGTGTAGCACACTGCTAAAGGCTAAGTCACAAGAAAGGTTTGAGCTTGCGAAAACCAATCATGTATGCTATGCCTGTTTAAAGGTAGCCGGCAGAAATCACAACATATCTAACTGTAGGAGGAGAAAACCATGCTCCAAAAGGGTGAACGATAAGCAATGTGACAAGTACCATCATCCCTTGTTACATCCTGAAAGGGATACAGGAACGGTGAACTTGGTAAAATGCTCAAAGGGTATCTATGATCAACCATTATTAAGAGTTGTCGAAGTAGGAGTATCAGTCGGAAAGAAATGGAAAAGGGCAAATGTCATGCTAGATAATGGATCTCAGGGAACTTTCATCAGAAAAGGCTTTGTAGAAGAATTGCAAGCCAGAGGTAAATGAGTAACCGCAACATTAACAACCATAGGTGGGAAAGAAACAGAGTGTGAAACCAGAATATTTAAGGTTCAATTGGAAGGCACCGGAGGGTCTCATGAAATTGAAGCAGTCGCCTTGGAAACAGTGAACACTGTAAGTGAAGTAGCAGAAGCGGATATGCGACAAATTGAAGATCAGTTCCAGCTGCAGCCACATGTGTTGAAAAGAAGGGGTGGGGAAGTAGATATTTTGATAGGTGTTAATTACCCAAAACTACATGTAGGAAAAATGAAGGAAAAGGATGGCATGGTAGTACAAAATTCCCCATTAAGATGGACTGTATTTGGAGGGAATAGGAATGATTCAAGTAATAACCATCAAGTGATGAATGTCATAATTCATACTCCTGTAGACCTTACAAAATTTTGGACTCTGGAAAGTTTGGGAGTGGATATTGGGAATTGATTGGGATGACCCATTACCAAAGAAGGTAGAGCAGGAGTGGAAAGATCTATTCAAGGAGTTTAAAGGCTGTCTCTTATACACATCTAGATGTGTATAAGAGACAGCTTATGAACTTAAAGATAACAAAGCACAAGCAGAGAGAATGTTGAGAAGCCTAGAAAGAAGGTTGTTAAAGAGCCCTGATCAGGCAGCAGCATATGACAGACAAATGGAGGAAATGGTAACAATGGGGTTTGCAAGAAAATTAGAGGAGTCCGAAGTCAACAACTACCCTGTGCATTACATACCGCATCATTCAGTAGTTCGTCCGGACAGCAAAACCACGCCAGTGAGAATTGTGTTCAATTCGTCTAATAGGTATGAAGGAGAGGCCATCAATGACTATTGGGTCAAGGGACCGGACTTGCTAAATAACTTACTGGGAGTTCTTTTGCGATTCAGAGAAAATGAAGTGGCCCTGTGTGCCGACATATCCAAAATGTACCACCGGGTGGCGATTCCGGAACGAGATCAACACGTCCATAGATATCTATGGAGAAATCTTGATGCTCCTGATGTATATATAAAGCTAAGACTAACGTTTGGAGACAAGCCAGCCCCTACCATGGCACAGACCGCTTTAAGATTGACAGCAAGGGAAAATGAAATAGAGTATCCAGAAGCAGCAACGATCCTTAAAAGAGACACTTATATGGACGATATTTGCCCATCTGTCAGAACTAAGGAGGAGGCAAGCAAGATAATCCATGACGTAGAAAAGGTACTTAGTAGTGGCGGTTTCTCTGTCAAAGGTTGGACCTCGAACAAGCAAGTACAAGGCCTAGATATCAAGCAAGACAAAGTGGTTATGATTGACTCCGAGCAAAGGGTATTAGGTATGCGATGGAGACCACAGGAGGATATATTCACCTTTGATGTCAACATCAACATAGAAACACTCACTAAAAGAAAGATATTGGGAGTAATAGCAAGAGTATTTGACCCCATTGGGTTCATCACACCGGTAACCATAAGTGCAAAGATCAAGATGCAAGAACTATGGGAAAGTGGAATTGATTGGGATGACCCATTACCAAAGAAGGTAGAGCAGGAGTGGAAAGATCTATTCAAGGAGTTTAAAGGGATCGATCAAGTAGCATTTCCCAGATGTCTTACTCCATCTAAGGCATCCAATGAAGTTGTATTAGTAATATTTAGTGATGCAAGTGAGAAAGTGTTTGGAGCCTGTGCATATGCTAGGTGGAGATTAGAAAGCGGATCATTTGAATCAAGACTGATAACAGCCAAATCACGTGTAGCCTCATTGAAGAAATTAACGGTCCCGCGATTAGAGCTACAGGCGGCAGTTATGGGAGCGAGACTAGCAGATGCAGTAGTTAAAGAGTCTACTTTCAAATTCAGTAAGCAGATTTTAATGACAGACAACATGATCGTGTTGGGGTGGATAAGACGACCAGCTCAATGCTTTAAACAATTTGTTGCAGCTCGAGTTTCTGAGATTCAGCGCAAGACGAAGATAGCAAATTGGAGACATGTTCCAGGAATATTAAATCCTGCCGACGACTTGTCCAGAGGAATGAGAGCGGACAAATTAACTGATAGGTGGATAAATGGACCTGAATTTATAAGTAAGCCGATAAGTGAGTGGCCTCAAGAGAAATCAGATAATGATACCGAGGATACAGAAGAAAGAATGATGGCATTTAACGGGAATGTTGTTGTGAACCGGGGAGAAGTTGATATTGTGAAATGCAAGACTTGGGAAGAAATGTTAGAACTCTATCGACAAAGAATATACGGCAAACAGTCAGAAGCTTTGA